AAATTAATAATCCAGATCAACAGTAAAACGTTTCAGCAGACACAAAATTAATATCTTTCTGCCTCCATCTCTTCAAGAACACTGAAATTAGCATTTTGGTCTCTGGGCTTCCAGGGAAGATGCTGCAAAAAAGGGATTTCTTTCCAGAAAGCATTCTCACTATGTCCGACATGTTTGTAAAATGTTATGACAAAATTGGGCTTAACTACTGACAACGTTTACACTATTATTATTATTTGCTTTCTCCACCTAATGAATGTACTTAAATGAAAGGTTAATTTTTCTCCATTGATGATGCTACAGTAATTAAAGAAGGAGCCCTTTCATGTTACTTAAAACAATTGAGGCAATTAGCAATAAATAATCAAACGGCTTCTACAGCAGTTTTATAGGGTTAGTCACCCTGAGGTGATTTGATTTACAGGCCTGTGATCTTTTTTCCCCTCCTGTAAGGCAGTGAGTGATGCTTGAACACCTGCTTCCAGCTCCCACCCAATGAGAAGTGCATCAGACCAGCCCACTTGTAAAAGCTCAGTAAATCTTTCACAGATAGGTTCTGATTAAAAAGCAAACCTTTCCACAGTGAGGCGGGGGGGGATCTTGGCTTTGGCTTGCGCCCCGTGGCGCTGCATGTATGACACCCGGCACCCATCCTGCCTGTCAGAACAGGCGCGTCTTCTCCCTCTCCAGGGTGTGCAGATGTGAATGGAAAGGATGAAAGTGTGTAACTGAATATGGAACCACACCAAAGACTCCCAGAGACAAACCACCAACACTTGATCTTTTGATTATCTGTGAAAATATTTCTACCATTAATTTGGGGCGTTCGGAGTGGGAATATTTGAACTGGTGTTTCTTCTTCTGTCTTCAGGGCTTCGGGGCAGGAAACTTCAAGTCTCTCTTTGAGGCCATTGAGAAGGACCAAGATGCCAGGGGCAACCTGACTGTGATTACACCTGAAGGGAGCGCCCAAGCCTTCCGCTGATCTCACACCACACTGAGTCTCATTCTGAAGGCTGCTGGGCTGCAGGCGATTCCACACAGATGAAAAACACTCACAACAGCTGCAGCATGTCAAACACATGAGAGTGTGTGAAGATCTTTATGTGATGAACTGTGAGCTTTTGATCCACTTTGCTTCAGGATGTCAACTGTTTTACTAAATAAAAAAAGCTTGTATCTCAGTCATGTGAATGTGTCAAATAACATTTTTTTAAACATTCAAACAAAGAATGTCTGCTAAAAGCAGAGAGAACATTAAGACCAATATCTTGTCTCTATGCTTAACATGAAGCAGCAGCTAGAAGATACTTAGCATTAATCGTTAGACAGACACAAAGTGGAGTTTATTCACAAACTTTTCTACAAGCTTTTGGATTCAGACCACTTTAAATATAAATGCAGTTGTTCTGTGAGGTTAACTGATAAATTTGAAATAAATACATTTACATTTTATTTCAGTTTAGTATGGGAATTCTGACTTTAATCTCAGAATTCTGACTTTAATCTCAAAATTCTTACTTTAATCTCAGAATTCTGACTTTAATCTCAGGATTCTGACTTTAATCTTAAAATTCTGACTTTAATCTCAGGATTCTGACTTTAGTCTCAGGATTCTGACTTTA